TCAGTCTAGTGTTTTCATCTCCCTGCTGGCTGATCAGGCAGGTATGCTGTTCTTTGTTGGCCCACTAGTAGGGCAATTTCAGTCAGGGAAAGGCATCCCTATGAAATTTATGTCCAAGCATCCAAAGAAGTGTTTTTATCCTCTCCAATTGTCTGCTGCTCTCCTGAGAAACCTTCCAAGAGGCTGCAAGCTTGTTTGTGTGTTCAGCAGAAGCTGCCTGTGTCCCTTGTTCTTTATGGTTTTTTGAAGATTTTTTGCCTGTTGCTTTTCACTTTTTTTCTTTTTTCTTTTTTTTTTTTTCTCCATTTTTCCATTTAGAGAGAAAAAAATATTTATTGCATTGAGATGCACTAATTAAAGCCATTTTCTGGTGTTTGGTTACTGAAGTGTTTGATGTCTCTCTGACAAGACCATGAAATGCACAGAGTGTCCACAGGGACAGAATTTGCTGAACACGGTGCTTTGTAAATGAGGGGACACAGTGTCGCAGCAGCTCATGAATATGAAACGCCCATGATGCTACCTCAGTGGACTTGGGAACACAGATGAATCCTGTCATGTGCTAAATGAGACCAATTTCTTTCACTTAACTTCATCTTCAATCAGACCTTCCATTTGCCTGTTTAAAATTCCCCAAACGTGATGCTGAAGGTAACAGCATTCAGTAAAACAAAGTTTTGCAGCAGCAGAGATACTGTAACTATTTCAGTTTTACATTTTATGAGCTAGCAACTTTAAAGTTAGTTTCATTCTTATACCTGCTTGGTTACAGGGGACTGCCAGATCCAGAAGCCACTACCCTCTTTCTGTTTTTTGGATATGGTGTCGTGTGGACAGGGAGGGCAACACAGTCTCCACCACAAGAGTGTCCATTCTGAATTGATCTTTGAAAAACTCACCCAGCTGGGGGAAGTGAATCAGACAATGTGAGATGAAGTCTTTTTTTTTGTTTGTTTTGGTTTGGTTTTTTGGGGGTTTTGTTGGTGGTGGTGTTTGTTTGTGTCAGGATGTTGGCTCAGGAGACTTAAAGCAGTTCAAGAAGGAAGCAGCAACCACACTGCTGACTAACTGCAGGCCTGACCTGGGATATGGCTTCTAGATCCAACTTGGCTGCTGATTTATTGCCTGACCTGGAACAGATTCTGTCTGTCCCCATTTATGCTGTCTTGTATCTAACAGAGAACTTAGTTCTTTGGGACAAGGACCAGATCTTGCTGTGAGTTTGCACGATTTTATGAGACCCAGCCTGCAGCTGTTGCTACTAAATCAAAAATCAGCCCTGCTTGGGAGGGGAAGTGCAATTCACCAACTTGCAGGAGCAGCTGGGTATTGGGTTGGTGCAGGTTCTCCCAGCTGCTGCTTGTTGCATTCTGTGGTTGTTATCTTTGCCTGTCAGTTATTTGCCAAGAGGTAAAAAAGATGATGATTACTGCATATACTTTAATATGAACACATAAAGCCCTCCTTTCTTTATGACTTAAAAAGCTGCTGTTCCTTGCCTATTTTTTGACTATCTGTATGTAGCATGGGTCACCCAAAGTCTTTCCCCTCCCTCTTTTCCTCCTACCATTCACACACTTCTGCCTTGTGTAATTGGTGCTTTGCCATAATTTAGTCACGAAGCTCTTTTGTGTAAGACCAACTCAGTTTAACTATTGCAATAAAAACATTGTTCTTACTTACATGCTGGAACTTAGATGTTCTGAGGGAATCAGTTTGGTGCAGTGACTTAACTCCACGGTTAGCCAACATTTGGTACTGGTGTCTCCTGCCCCACCATAACTTCTGTATGAATACAGTCCTTTTGGTTTCATTCTTTGTTCACCCTTATTCAGCATCATCTGGCAGGTGGAGGGGAGTTTGCATTTGTCATCTAGCACTCATCATTGTGGCATCATGGTGCTCACTCATCATTGCACAGGCTTTCATTGCAGTGACCTGGTGTGTCCTTTTGTGCAGTTATTTCTAAGGTTTGCCTATGTGGGCACGAGAGCCTGGCCAGTAAAGTATGTGTCAAGGTTCAGCACCAAAACCTCAGGTTTATGGAAAATTATCTGAATCCCCCACACTGAACATGAGAGTTAAAGTGTGGGTCACAGAGCAAAGCACACAGAGTGGGGGTTTGTAATATAACCTTGTTTTTGGAAAAATGCACAAGACTGGGAGGACATGGTCCCGTGAACATTTCTGCATATACTAATGTTATATGTAAAGCCTCACTGCAGCTAAGGGGAATATTAAAACTACAGCCTATGCCTACTCTTGCAGCACGATAGCCCATGTGCTTCTTTGCCTTGCAGCTGACATAGGCCTTGACTTGGCTGTGTTACCACAGCTTACAGGGGAAAAAGATCTGAGTCCCAAGAAGAGCAACAAAAACAATGAGGCGGCTGGAGACTGAGTGAGGGGAGACGTTGGGTCCTTAATGATAAAATGACAACGGAGACACTTTGCAAACTGTACAGAGAGAGAAGGAAGAGAGATTGTGGAGAAGTGGCACCATGGGAATTGGCAGAGGGAAGAGGAAATTATGAGTAACAAGTGAAATACGGACCCAAATATTTCAGGGCTGATTTGCCACTGATAGCAGTTATCCCAGGGAGCTGATATTTTCTTAAAATTTTTGACATTTCTGTTCTGTTTTGTGTTAGCTCAACAGTCCTAAAGGGCATTGCTTCTGCCTAGAAATGGGCAAGGCATCCACACTTTGCTGTAAGAACAAGTGTGTGGTGGCCTTTGTTGGAGGGGCTGGCAGGAGCCCCCAGAGTGTTTGCAGCTCTTCTGTGTGAAATATTTTCAAAGTGTCTATAAAGTATCAGAACCTTGAATTTCTTTTGGAAAGAATTCCTACCTGTTCACCTGGATTTTGCTAATATAGAGTGGAGGTCATTGAAAGGGGTTTAGAAATCTCTCCATGGAATTCAGTGGCAGTGAGATAAAATCAGCACTGGAGAACCCAGGAGTATTTGGGAACCTGCAAAATGGAGGGGACATCACTGACCAGACCCTAAGTTTACAGCTTTTTCTAGTGCAAAAAGAGATGAACAAAACCAAAAGGGAACTGGGAAGAAGAGACTCTAGAAATAGCTGCCAAAATAAGAAATGAGTGAAGAAATTCAGTTTGCTGCAAACACCTTCCACATTTCTGCTATCAAAAGAGGATAAGGATCTGACCTTCTCCTGCTACAGCAGATGTGCTTGATGGGTAAAGACAGCTCTGTTCCCAGGTAGTTCTTAATTTAGTTGTGTTTGCTGAGAACGATTCATAGTCTCCTGATGAAAAGGATAAATTAGGTCAGGAGAGGTTAGGTGGTTTCTCATTCCCATGCTCGTTTGCCTGGACTTAACAGGACACATCTGCATAGAGCTTCATTCCCTGCCTTAGACCAGTGATGCACAGGTGAGGCCTTTCTTGCACGTGCCTCTTCCATCTCAGGGACAGCCTGGGAGCTGTTGCTGCAGTTTCCCTTTAAATGTCTTTGGGAAGTTTGCTGCAGTTGGAGAGCTGTTTTGCAGGCACCTGCTCCTTGGGTGGCTGGGGAGCTAGAAGGCACAGCTCTGCTGAGGCCGGCCAAGCTGTCACTCCTTTTGCTGTGGCCAGGCTCTTGCGACAGCCCCTGTCCTGCTCAGCCTTTCACCAGGCAGCCAATTAGTGAGAAATCCCACTGTGTGGCCAGCTCTGGATGGCCATCACGGCAAGGCCCGGGCTGACCCGTGCCCTTCTGCAGCTGGGCCAGGGCTGCCTCCTGGCCAGCGAGTGGGGGGACACGATGGATGTTCAGCAAGGGAAGGCAGCTGAGAGCCTGCGCAGCTCTGACAGGCAGCTGGACGAGGGGCTTCTCAGGAAGACCCTGCCCAGAGCCCTCAGCACCATAGGTGGGAATGTCTCTCCAGCTCCTGAATATTCATCTCAGCCTGGGCTGAAAAACGTGGCAAAGCCAGGCCCAGCTGCCTGCTGCCATCCAGCAGTGGCATGGCTGTGCTGCTGGCAGAGCTGGGAGCTGCCTGCTCGCTCCAGCACTGAAGGAGCCAACTCTGCCTGTAAGCTGAGCAAGTGAAACCTCTTCCCTGAGCCAAACCACCAGGTTCTGTGTGGTCTGAGGGCTCAAGGTCTCTGGAGAGCCTTTGTGGCCTTGAGTCTTTAAAGATGCTCTGTGTTGGTATACTCTGTTCTTGTTTTGTGCCTCCAGTTACTTTCCCTTCTCTTCCTCTCCTTTTTTACTGTCTAACTTTTTATAATACTTTGTAAAATCACAAACCTTATAATGCTCTCAGAGCCTTACTCCTTTATCAGGACTCAGTGTTCACTCAATTTTTCCTCCTCTCCTCAATTCTTTTGTTTGTAGCATCCTTTTTAGCTGGCGTAGCCACAGTTCTTGTGCTAGGAATACCCAGTGACCTTCACCCATTCTGGGGTCACACTGGAAATCACAAAGAGGCTTGTGACAATGCAACTAGATGCATCTTCCCTGATGTTTGTGTCTGCTAGACCACTAGCACTTTCTTCCTCAGCTATCGGGAAGGTCTACACAGCCTGAGACCCCACTAGCAGTTCCTTCAACATGCAGGTTTACATAGCTTCTCTCGGTTTCTGCCCCGCATTTCATTTCTAACAGAGTCTAGGTGACTAATGGCTGAGCAAATGATAACAAGCAAATGATATAACAAGCAAATTCCTGCCAGCTGGTGATGGCAAGTAGGCAGCAAGGTTTAGTGCAAGCAGCTTTATTCGGCTTCACGGTTGTGTTCAAATGCATGGTCCATAGCCTGGACTGATCTGCTCCTCTTGGAAGATTTTTTTGTGACCCCAAGCTTCAAAGTTTTATTACCTTGTTTAAATATTAAGCAATATATTTTTAATTATTGCTAAATAACTCCTTTGCATTTTCCTTTGATAAGGAACAGGCTGCTTCATATCTGTGAAGCAAGGGAACCTTTATCTTCAGTGAGAGGAGAGCACAACACTCCCCACTTACTGGTGCTGCTTTCTCTTGTTGCAGACATTCCTGTGATCCCTGATTTGGAGGAAGTCCAGGAGGAAGACCTGGCCATGCAAGTGGCAGCTCCCCCTAGGTAAGAGCACTGCCAGGTGCTCTTGAGGCTCTCATCAGCTGTGCAAACTGGCTAGTGAAATTAAACCCATTTTATGCCTCTGGATGTTGGCAGCAGTGCCATTCAGCAGGATTTGGTGCTGTGTTTTGTGGCAGCAGGGCTCCAAGCTGAACAGAGCAAACTTCTTGTTTCCTATTACGCAAAAAAGCAATTACTGCATATTCTCTCTCTTTATAAAAAAAACTACATTAGAATAACATATTTGATATTGCAAAATCAAACTCTCAAAAGTGAGGAACTGCTTGATTAAAGGTTGCATGTATAACCTCCAATGCCTCCTACACATGCATTACTACGCACATTTTGATTAGGTGTGGTTGTAGGCTGCTTTGCCCTCCACAGGATATCCTTTTTACTCAAGTACATAGTTAATTTGCAAAGTAAAATCCTGTTGTTTGAAGGTGCTATCAGAGTAGCCTTGGGGTTAGCTTTTAAGAGTGAAAGTTTTTGGGGTTTTGTCCTAAACATATGAGGAAAATCTTCTCTGTTGGGTCTGTTGCCAAGATCACAGATTGGGATTTCTGTTGACCCTTATTTGGAGGGATGGGATGTCTTACTCCTGACCACAGATGCCTCTCTCACAAGTGTGGAGTTTTCATTGTAATTATATAGCTATTAAATAATTGACACTTTATAGTAGTAAGTTTAAAATGACTGTTTCTCACTAGAACACATTTCTTTTTCTCTTCTCTTTTTTTTTTTTTTTTTTTTAAATAATGCTGTCTGATCCTCTTGTATTCATAGTTTTCCTGCAATAGAAAATACAGGTGATTTTCATGGGCAAACACAAGTAAATTCAATTAATATAGGTCTTTTCTACAGTGTTTTATCACCTGTGAAGCCAAGTGTGGTACGACACTATATCATCTCCCTACACCGTGTTTCTCTTGGAATACTACATTTTAAGATACCGTATTTGATAGCTCTGACTCAGCTCAGACATGAAAATCACTAAGTCCCTTCTGTTCTGTAGCTTATATGGTGTTTCTCTCAGAGCCTCCTTTGCTGTGGTGCTGTGGCTGTTTGAAGGCTCACTACAGTCCTCTCTCTAGCCTTTACAGCTAGTCTGTGGATCTTCTTTTTGACATCTGGTTTCTCTGAGGGAGTTCGTGGTTGTTCTACATTCTATTTTTGTGCATGTCTACAACTTAATACACAGATTTGTCAATGATTGTTCATTTGCTGACTGAGATGTGCTTCTGTCTGGGTACATCCATTTCAGGAGTCTAGAGAGGTGATGTGGACACTCAAGGTGGGTGTCACCAGACTATTATTCATGTCACCCTTTTCCTCACTTGTGCTTTCACACTGACCGAGGCTTGTTCTTTGACCCTTTCTGGTTGCAGTGTACAGGTGAACCGAGTGCTGACCTACCAAGACCTGGACAAAGATTTAATGAAGTATGCTGCCTTTCAGACTCTGGTAAGTGAATGTTGCTATGGGCTGACTCCCTCTCCTTCCAGGAGCCCAGCATCCTCCATTGTGATACTCAGCTACACAAAATACACAGCATTTTACAATCCAAACTTCTTGCAGTCTGCCTGTAAGTTTGTTCCTGTCTGCAGTGTGACTTTTGTGCTTGTTTGTGTCTGTAAATAATGTGTTACGGTATCTGCTGCTCAGATGAGGCTCCTGCTGCTGTTCTGTTCCAAGTATGTGACCCTTATGAGGCAAATGTGCTGATCTCTAGCAAGACCTATCTGGTTAAATGAGGGTGTCTGCTTTCTCAGTGTCTGACTCTGTGTGTCTTCATAGGATGGGGAGGTAGACCTGAAGCTCCTCACCAGAGTTTTGGCTCCGGAGCATGAACTACGAGAGGTGAGTCTTTCTTTTGTGGAAACACCAACAATGTAAAAGCTTCTTGTGTGTCTCAGACTGTAGTAGTAAGCCTCTGTTGGTGGAGTGGAGAAGAGAGAGCTTGTCCAACTTGTAAAAGGTTTCATTTCCCCAGCAGATGATTTTAAAGATATATAGTGCTTTCTCAGTGTGAGTTTATGGCATCACTATGATTGGCCACCTTCAACATGAAGGAACTAGTAAGGAAAATGTGAAGGGCCTAGTACTGTCACAGATCCCTGCAGAAACAGTGCTCTGCTGTGTATTGTCCTTTGGTAGCCACTGTGAGCTACAGGTGGTTCTATAGAACAGTACAGTGGGACAAAGGCAGAAAGCATTTGGGGTTTGGGCAGAGGGGGTTTAAAGCAGGACAAAACAACCTCTTTACAACTGGGTGGGCAGGAGCTCAGGACTTGCAACAAAGGATTGCTGCAGCTTTGAACTGCACATGCTTCAGCCGAAGGGTGGAAGATTTTTATGGCTTCTCTTTATGACCTGCCAGGGTGTATCTAATATTAACAAGTATCAAAAAATCTGTCCTTTATGGAGTTTTGGAACATGAATAATTCTGTCAACATTTTTAAATTGGAGCAGGGATTCACATTTCATTTTGGCTAGTATTCCTGTTCTAGCCAACTGAATCTGTAACTACCCTGGTCAGGGCAGTTACCATTTACTTTCTCTCTTCACTGAATGTCTGGCATTGTTCAGAGAACTTCAGGTGTCACCAGTAACATTTCAGCATGTTTGTCTTTTTCCTCTTGGTAGGATGATGACCGCTGGGATTGGGACCATCTCTTCACAGAGGTGTCCTCAGAACTAGTGACTGAGTGGGACCTGGGACAGTCTGAGAGAGAGGACCACCTCAGTTTGCCATAGAGTACTGGCACAAAAGACATCTCATACATGCATCCATCCCCTGTAAATAGTTTAGCACTTCGACTTTCTATTTACTTCTTTGTATTTGAGACCTTACTTCAGACATGAAAATAAATAGGATCTTGTCTTCACAGAAAAAAAATGTCTCGGGAGAAGTTTTGGGTACTTTGTAATAAGAATCTTTGTTGTCAAAAGAGATGAAGAATTCCAAACACCATAAAATATTAACTTATATACAGTCACTCCACCTCAATTGCAGCTTTACAGGTAACTGCAGTGGTTGATCTTTCCTCTATGAAAACACAACCTCTCTGGAGTGGACCATCTTCCAATGGAGTGTGTTTGTAGTGATGGTTATCAGAGAAGCTTATGGGGGAAATGAACTCTATCTCAGCCAGATGCAACACACTAGGACACTGAGGTTACCATCTTCTTCACAACAGACACCACAAGTTGTCAGGATATCTGGTTTACATTTCATCCAGCAGCCTCCAGCCTTTCCCTGCTAATTTAACCCCTTTGATTTAACATTACCTCTATATTGACTCAGGAAGCATCACCTATTAAACTGCCAACACCACTTCTTTCAGCACCTCTTTTTACCCTGAGGTTTCCCAGCTAAATTCTGACCAGGCTTAACCCCACTTAGCTTTTGCAATCACATGAAACCACAGCCTGAATGGAGATTGCTTTAGGCAATAGGTAGTTTGCAAAGAAAATACTGTTTATTCCATGGGTGTGAAAGAATAGAGCCTGATGCTCTCAAACAAGGTAACTCCCTGGTGTGTGCCTTCTTGGAACTAAGTGACCCACTCTTATTGTCATCTAAAGAAAAATCCATTTAGCTGTTAATACCTTGTCCCTATAGAACTGTGGTCATTATTTGCAGGAAACAGTAACATTACTTCCTAAGCCAACGTCCTTCAAAGCCTTGTCCTATTGGAGAATCTTGCTGTATACTTCGGGGGGGGCAGTGCAGGTGCTTGGGAGGAAGCTTGCTGTGCTGTTCTTCTTGGCTTGTTTGGTCAGTCTGATAGAGTACTGCATGTCCATTTTTGTGAGAGCAGGACAAGTCAAATAACTCACTGTGAATTCAGTACCCTGCAGAATTTCAGATAAGAGTTTTTTAAACCAAACAACTCTACCAACAAGAGGGAAGCAGTTGGGTCCCAGTCTGAGGCCACAAATATAAGTGGAGGTTTATCTGTCTTAAGGACACACTAAGCTTTTTACAAGCAAGAAATCTCTCCTGTAACTAAAAAACTAGGTGAGACAGAAGGGAGGCCAGTGTATGGAGGATAATCCAAATGTCCTTCCCTGAGCAGAGAAACCTGTTTTGGTATGAGCAGAAACTTCCCAGCTGTGCTAGCATCTGTTTTTCTGTGACATCTGTGGTTCTTGGCCAAAGAGAATTTAGAATGCTTCCTACATTCCAGGAAAAAAAATTAAATTCAGCAAACTAAAATACTTTAGTAAATCAGAGAAACCCAACTAGCCACTCAGAGAGGAAAAAATTGGGTGCCGTTGGCTACCCCCTTCTGGCTGGGGGCCCTGGGCAGGGATACTCTGTGGAGAGAGGCAAGTGTGTGGGGGGGCCAGGTCTGTGCCCAGTCTGGGACCTTGGGAGCCCAGCAAATACCCCAGTAGAGTTTGAGAGAAGGGCTTGAAGAAAGTGACAGCAGGAAGAGGTAGCTTTGATCATTTAGTCTGACCTTCTATAATACAGGCCATGGCAGAGTCCAGTGGCTGAGCCTTGCCTGTCTTTTAGAAAGGCAGACAGTATATTTGAAACTCACTCCTGGTTAGTTTTTAATAGATGATTGCCCTTATGGTTTTAAATCTGCTTTATTTTTAGGGTCAGTTTTTGAGTTTCATCTTCTGTTCCCTGAGACTGCTTGCTTTCACCTTTCCAATCAAGCCATGCTGTTGGGTATTTTCTCCTTGCTTCAGTATTTATGTGCACAGTGATCAAGTTGTCTCTTTAATTTCCTTCAATAAACTTAATAGACTGAGACTTGTTTCCATGTCTCTTCAATTCCTTCCCCAGCTGGAGAAGGGGAGGTGGGTGTCTGGCTTCTGGCCTTTCTCCAGCAAGCTGTTCCCACCCACCTTCCTTCCACAGCTGTGTTCTGGTTACAGTGCTGGGAGGATGACAGAGACCCGAGACTTTCTCAAGTCCTGGTGCTGTCAGAGAAGAACACATGCCTCTTACTGTCCTTGTTAAAAAGAAATAATGACCTGCTTTTGCATGCCCAGGCCAGCTATTGGCTCACTGATGCACCAGTGTGTATTGGCTGTAACAAAGCTGCCTCAGGAACCTGCATTTCTGGCAAGTCCCATGGAAAGAGCACGCAAAGGAGGAAATGGCAGGTGTAGCCTGCAAAATGTAGCCCTGGTTGAGCCTCCGGTGAGGTGAGAAGCAAGAGCAGTTTTCAAAAGAGTGCGCCCAGTTCCCAGGATCTTGGATCAGCCCTCTGGGCTGTGCCTCGCTGAGGCATAGACAGTAATCCCTTGTTGGTCTCCACAGACCCTGTAGAGCGGTAAAGCAAGGTGCAGTGGTGTGCCCAGGACCACACAATGAATCTTTGACAAAATCAGGGTTAGAAACGAGGAACCTCAGGTTCCCAATTCAAACAAAGCTTTCATATACCTGGTGTTTTCTATCTTCATTTCAAAGATGACAATTCAGTGTAGATAGTCTTGTGTCCTGCTTATTTTTTATTCTGCTCCGTTCATACGTTGCTGAGGAAGAGCTGCAAACCTGTCAAGTGTATGTGTGTCAACAGCATATTTAGCTCAGTGAGCTGATCTGGGGTGTCTGCCCAAGGACTTGCTGGGATTCTGGACGGGTGTAAATCTCTACCTGCAGGCAGCCTCTGGCAGACTCAGCGCTCAATAGAGCAATACTGGGCATATGGCAAGCCTCATCACAGATAAAGTAAAAGAAAGATATAAAGGAAAAATTAAGTCTAGGTTCTATCAGTTTTAGGAATCTCTGGTTTTGCTTGTAATAATACATATGATATTTATAGACTTTCTTGGTGGAGATGCCTTACTAGAGTGCAGTTAGTCAGTGACTGGGGAATATTGGGCTGAGACAGCTTAGGCAGCACTGGAAAAAATGTAGGAAATAAAAGCTGAAAGCAAGCCAGAGCCAGCAACTTTCCATTAAAGAACCTCTTAAAGGGGCTCTGTCTGGCTGTTTTATTAAGTGTGACAAAGTGATGGGAGGTGGGGGGGAGCTCCTATGTTAATAAGTTGGAAAGGCACTGCTGTTCCTCTCTTCAAAGCATCTCATGGAAAGTGGAATTAATTCATGGCATATGCTCCCAGCATCTGCCGTGGTGACCTGGAGTGGCGGGAGCGCAGCGCCAGGCAGTGTGAGCCAGAGCCTGTATTCCCAGCTCCTCTCTCGAGCCTTGTGTGCTGCTGCCTGTGGCCGAACGTGGGGGCAGCAGGGCTGCTACGGCACAACATGCCCAGCTCCTGCCTGCCTGCTGGCAAGGGTGGGATGGCACAGCCCAGCTCACAGTATTTCTCCCTCTGAAGAAGAAGACATGCTCTACACTTGGGAGGGAGAAAGGAGTCTTTGGATAGAAAAGAGACCAATTTGATTGGAAACTAATCCAGTTTGTCCCAAACATCCTTAATTCCTCCCACAGCATTCCCTGACCGAGTCCTCCCTTCACCAGCCATCTGACTTGTTCTGTGGCTTGCTGTGAGGTTCTGAGTCCTTGGTTTCCCACTGCATCTCTACAGATGATTTGATTCCCTTAGACAGAGAGGACGGAGGTTGTATTTGCTGTTAGGTGGGATGTCATTCTCTGTTTAATGGCTCCTGGGAAATAATTTTCCACACCTTATTTCCCCTTGACTGACCCAGACCACTGCCAAGAGCTGTACCCAGCTAGTACAGGTGGGTGCACTGTATTGTTTCCAGGTTGCGGCAGTCTTTTGTCTGTGCTTCATGATCTGCATGTGAGCTTTCCCTTGGGAAAGGGCACCCAGAGCCAACCCTCCACAGGCTGCTCTTTCTGCAGCCACATCCTTTCACCTTTTTGGATGACTGCCTGAGATATGGGACACTTTCTTGGCCTGGAGACCTGACAGAGCCAGGAGAAACCAGAGTGGTGGGTGATCCCTAGACAGGCAGAGATGCCCCACGCTGCTTCTGTGCTCTCCCAGCAACTGCCCCCGTACCTCAGCAGCTTCTCCCACTTGCACTTCCTTTTGAAATGTGGCACCCCAGGCCCAGGCCCACCCCATGTGGCACATGTGGGATACAGAGTTGGCTGCCCTGGTGAGACCAGTCCTCCCAGGACCATAGTTTATTCAGGGGGATGACCTGCACTCCTTGAAGTCACAGCCTGGGAAGCATCCTGATTGACTGACTGAGTCATGAACACTGTGTGACATGGACATCCAGAGCTTCTGAGCCCATTAATCTCTCTGCTGTGGTCCCTGGGGAGATGAAACCTTTCCACCTAGAGCCCTACTACCTGAGTCTGCCCCAGCAGGTTGTTCTGTGCAGACCTCACTGGGGCCTGAACAGCTACAGGCCCTGGGCCCTCTTATCAGGCTCAATCTCCTGTCACTTTCAGGACCACTTCATTATCCTTTTATTAGCCCTCTTCTCCAGCTTATCATTATTAATAATCACACTGGATCAGCTGGAGTGCTGACAGCTGCCCCTTGTCTATTCTTTCTGTCTATTTTAATCCTGCCTGCTTATCTGAAATAAACCTGATCCTTTTTCTTTTAATTAAAGAAATTTGGTCGGCCAGCCCCTCCTCCATGCAGAGATAGGACTGATCACACCAGTGATATGGAGAGAGCAGGAAAAGAGGCAGATTACTGGGTGACAGTGTTTTCCACAGCCCAAAGATATGGGATGCCAGAGTAGAGGCTGGAAGAGATTAAGGCACTTGTGTTGTGAGGGGAAACACAGCCCTGAGGCACTGTGAGGGTGCTCATTTTGGGGTCTCTATATCTGGCCCAGTGTATTGACGCAGGGTTGTGTGACTACACTGCACCAGTGCAAGACAGTCAGGGGAGGTCTGCTCACCTCTCTCTGCTTAGCAGGGGTGGCAACAGCAATGCCAGGCGCAGAGCTTGTACAAGTGGCACTGCCAGGGCTGCTGGGATCAGTGCAGTTCCTAGAGGGGCTAGAGCAGTTTGTTTCTCAGTGCTTTATAGTCCTGTCAAAAAATGCAAGTGCTGGTCTTCACAGTGATGCTCCTGC